CATTACTGTTGCCCCTATACCAGGGGCAACTTTAATAAAAATAATTAAAATAATTACAACTTTACAAAAAGAGAGAAGTTGCCGATCTTGCCCCTATACCCGGGGCAACTTCGTCAATTTCTCTCTTCTTGTAAAGTTGTAATTATTTTAATTATTTTTATTTCCAAACTGATTTTAACCAGTTCTATAGTAAGGTAACATTCCAATAGACAATATGAAAAGCTTTTTTTTCAGTTTACATCAGTATTTATTACACAAAATTTAAGTAAAGCTTAACATGCCGATCTTGCCCCGGTCTCCCCTATTTTTTATGATGAATGACGATAATTTGATGCTAAGTGACTCTTAATTTAGTTGAATTTAATTTATTATTTTAAGGATTAATGTTTTGTTTATTTAAAAATATTTTATTGCAGTTTTCTGTAACGACATCATATATATAGGCCAAAGTAAAGTCGAAGAAGGTAAACCTTTTACTATTAAGTGTATTTTAACTCACTTTGAAACACCAAAGTGGAACAAGGATGGAATTTACATTAATCCTAATAATAAAGAATACGAATTCACTTCTTATCCCGAAATTAACGGAGAATCATTTCGTAAACATCATGAAATTTATTTTAAATTGCACGTAAAGAAGGCGAGAAGTTATCACACAGGAAATTATCGATGCTACTCTTTCAGTTCGACTTTTCATCGTTTAGAAGTTATTTCCAAGCCAACCAGTAAGGGTAGTTATTATTTATTTATTAATTAATTGAATTATTAAGAAAATTATTTATGACATTTATTTAATATTATAGGTAAAGATATATTTGACGAGGTCATCTTAACCGAAAATAAAGCGGTTACTTTAATTTGTAATATCGCTGAAGATGTTGTGTTTCCTGTTAATTGGTATATATTAAATATATGCATTTTTATTAAATAATAAAATTTTATTTAAGCTTTAAAGCAATTATATATTACAATTTATTATTAATGTGATAAATTATAAGAAAATTAAATTTTTTAAAAATAAATATATCGCCTTTTTATTTTAATCGATAGGTATAGAGAAGGACAAAAGATTTTAGTCGAAAGAGATCCAAGAATTACCGTAGAAGATAGAACACTAACTATAAATCCTGCTCAGGAATCTGATGCTGGAAATTATAGCTGTGATACTGTCTCACAATTTAGTCATCCTATACAAGGAAGAGGAAGAGTTATATACTTGAAATGTTAGATGACATTACATTTGTTTGTTTAGATCATACTATTTTTTCAATTTTTTGTTTTTATAAATGTGAAATTAATATTATTTTAAACATATTTTTCAGCAAGAGCTAGAATAGAACCTTTACCCCATCAACTCAGTATTCAAGCTGGAAAAGATTTAACTGTAGAATGTAAAGTTCATGGATATCCTCAACCGTGGATAACATGGTATATTGGTAAGTATGGCATTTTTGTAGCCATTCATAAAAAAAATTAATAATTAATGATGTTAATTTTTTATCACAATTATTTACATTTGAAATATTAAGAAATGTAGAGAAAAATCCTATGACTATGGTTTTTATTTCATTAATAATGTTTAAATCATAAACATTATTACTATTATATACGATTACATATTACATACATATTATTTCAATACAAATATTTTCTATTAAATTGCATAAATTTCTAAAATGTGTAATTAATTATATATTTTCTCTCTATTCGTGGCTTTTATACCATTTTTTTAAAAATTCTTTCTCAGTATTTCGTTATTTGAAGATTTATTACTGATGAAATGTTTTTACATTATTTTTATGTATTTTGTAGAAACTTTATATTAACTTAAAATATAATAACTTTATTTGAAATGGTTTAAATTATAGAATATACACAATAATTTCAAGTAAACTTACTGTAAGATTTTAAAGAAATACCTTAATATTTCCATTTAAAAAATAATATAAGAGCAACGAAGAAGGTTGAAGTTAAATAGATAAGAAATCAAACGAAAGCAACATTTTTTTAATAGGCCTATGTGTAATTTTGCGTATTACGAATAAATAGAATTATTTTNTCACGGTTAATCCTCAAAGGATTTCTTTACCGTGTATAACAGCCTTAAGTGTATCCCTGGTACAACACGGTTTCGCACTAACAGGGTTTGAAAATTGGGAATATCCCGTATAAAACGACTTTCGGTTTCGTCCTAACACGGTTTTGGAAATCCTCCGTACAAAATTTCACAATTTTTTATGATAAAAAATATAAAAAATATGAAAATTTTGCTGATATTTCTGATTAAGATCAACAAAACAGATGAGACGACAACGATACTTTGTAAAAAAAGGAAACGCTTTTGCTAACTTCTGGAATGTAAGCTTATGTTTTTCATTACTTCTTTGTTTCGAATTCGCATTAGTTCTTTGCACGAATTCGCATAACACGGCACTTTTTCGGAACGTAACTACCGTGTTATATGAAGGATACCTGTATTATGAGTGTAAAAATTAGAGAATTCTGGAGGTTTCAAAGAAATTTGGGTATGGACTAAACTTTTAATAAATCAATGCAGTTGTAATTTGCAAGTTGCAAGTTGTAATTAATTTAATAAAATTTGTGTAAAATCACTGCCTCAAATTTTTCTCTTTATCTTAAAAACAAAGAATACAACAATAAATAATAGTATGCAGTGTTTAAACATATCCTTAATTGAAGGATATGTTTGAACAACTCAATTAAAATGTTAACAGATTTGATAACAAGTAATTATAGTTTCTATTTTTAGGTAGCTAATTTGTTAAAGATCTAATTCTAGAATGTTTGTAAAGGTTCCAATCAGATAATATAAATTGCAATGTAATAAGTTTTATAGTGATATCTAGAAAAAAGATTATAAAAAAACTTGATAGAATGCTGATTATTTATTCCAGATGCCTGTTTTGTGCCTTTTTTTAAATGACATATTAAACGATTTAAGAGTTAACAGAAGCCTTACAATAGATTTAGTAGATTAACATACACAGGTAGTGTGTATATAAGCCTATCTAAAATATAAAAATAAAATAAAATAACAACAACGATTATTCCAAGGATTATCCTATTTTATTCATTTTATATGCCGTTAGTTAAAAGTTACGCCTGTAATAATATATTCTACAATGTTTATTTAAATGTTAAAACGAATATTTAAAATAATATTATGTTGTATATTGTTGTAATATCTTTAAAATGATTAAATATAAAGTATAGACCATTAAAGAAATAGGCCTATATTTTTGTGCCATTTAAAATTTTAAATTAAATTCATTAAAATTATTTATAAATTAGATCAAAAATAAGTTTTCATTTTTAACAATTCATTTAGGGAATGACACAGCATATGATAAACCAGTGGCTGATGATAGAATAGAGATTCATCCAAATTCTGATGGTTATCCAAATGCTATTTTGATATGGAGAAATATATCTTATGGGGATAGAGAAATCATTAGATGCGAAGCTGAAAATACAGTAAACGTAGCAAGCTCATCGAGTCTTCTTGTTGTTCGACGTAAGTACTCATTTCACTTTTATTTTATTTACATACATTCTTAAAAGAAACAAAATTAAAATGACAGATTTTTGACTAAGTCAAATAAATCATTAAAGGAAAGAACTTATATTATTTATCCACAGTTGTGTAGGTTATTAAAACAGGATTTATATATACATACATACATAAATATATACTGTATATGTATAAAAGTCTGATAAATGTACTATTTACAGCTACGTATTAACACGTAGACACAAAAACTAAATTTATATGTTACATCATTTTATCGTAATTCATAAATCATTCCGAATTATAAAGTAAAATATTGATAACATAAACATTATCCAAGGAAAATTATTTTTACTTTATTTATGTTCGTAAACTCTGACATAATGTGTGTATATAAATATATTCATATATATAAATTTATTTATTTGTTTTATTACTAATTAGTATTAAGTATTAGTATTAATAAGTATTATACAGTTTTTAAAGTTATGAATTCTTACTGTACTGTATTTGAAAATGAAATATCCCATCGTGGTTTTATTTATATATAATTATTTGTTGTAAACATTTTCAATATGTTTATTGGTTTTCCTGTTTTCTATATTTAGGTTCTAAAACTTTAGAAAACAGTCGATACTAATAAATTAACTTTATTGACGTTAGTGTAGATCTCACTTACCAGTTTTAGATAAACACGTGTAAACTAATTTAAATATTTTTTCAGTTTGAAGAAATATGTTCGTCTTAATCACAATATTACTAACTAGAAATAAGAGCTTAAAGCTATAAAATTATAAAACTATTAGAAAAATCTATTTTATAGCTTACGACAAGATTATATTTTCTGGTTTTCATATATTAAAACATGCAATTATAATATTTTAATTTTAATTAAGTTATCTAAATTCTATTTATAACTAAACTGAATCAATTAAAGCAAGGAGTATGATAACAATTATCCCTGAATATAAATATCACCAAAGATAATAATAACGAATTCCAACTTTAGAATAATTAAGTGAAAAATGATTCTGAAAAATTAGAAATTTTAAAACTTTTTTAAATTTTTTTTCTTGTTTATGAGTAGTTTATATTATTTTACTTGATTGTTTTCTTATATTAAATGAATTTGTAATTTCGGTCCCTAAATCTATGTGCTCTGACATCAAATTTTCGGAGTAACTTTCAATTTTACTGTTGGAAATTTTATTTATAACCCGTTTGAATTTATTTGCATTAATTCGTATTGAAACAAATTTTAGTGAATTTAAATAATTGTTCTATTATTGGGGGCTTGGACTTATTTCACGGAAGTATACGTGAAAATAAATTACAGTTCCAAAAAAATGGAAAGTCAAATCAGTAAATTAATAATTTAAAAACAGAAAAAGAACTCATGCAGTATAAAATGAATGTTTTGATCAACGACCTTCACTATAACAATATAATATTACATAACTAGCCTATTTAAAAATATATCTCCAAATTAGAAATTCATAAACTTATCAACTCCTCTCTAAACTTACATAATGTGTCACAAGATGATGTTCTAGATATAACTCAAATAACCAAATCGACTGATCCAGTAATAAGATTAACATTTAATAATATACAGATCCGAGACCAGGTTTTTAACACTTTTTTAACAAAGAAACAACAAAACCTACTAGAAAATTGAAAAACATGCAAATTTCATCAGACTTCACTAAAAAATCACGAATAAGACGAAAACACTTATGTCCATCCTATTACTACACAAGAAAACAAAATCGTCAAATAAAACTACGAAATGATATTAATAAGCCGAGATAGAATAACATACAATATCGATACAGGGAAGCTTATGCGGTTTATGCGTTTATGGCGTTTATGGTGGATGGTTTATGCGGATACCTTTATGCCTTTATGCCAACGGAAACTGCAAGTTGATACACAACACATCAAAGTAATTTCATCAGAAAAAAGACACTATGAACAGGCAATCAATTTCTGTCATAAACTGGAATAGCCAAGACCTTAAAAGTAAATTACCATCATTGAATTCCTTACAATTAAAATATAAACCAAATATAATAGGAATAACCGAAACATGGATAACACTCGAATCGTTTTATAAATCAACTTATTTCAATGACTATATCATTGAAACATTATCAGCACGGAAACCACTTGGCCCTGGACGTCCAAGTGATGTCTTATGCATTTTAAAACTGTGTAAAATACTCCAAATTAAAAAACTCCGATAACTACATACTACTATTACTTTCAATGAACAAACCCATCCATATTTGGAAACAAAAATTGTCAATTGATGATTGTGATAATTGCCTATATTCCTCCCAGCTGTTTGGTAAAAATCAACGAAATTTTCAAAATAATTGATCTATGGCAGCACATCACTCCGTATATTCTCCTAATCGGAGATTTTAACTCACGAATTGCTGAAATAACAGACTCTCAATTCAGTGGATTCAACTTAATAATTTAGGATACCCGACGTTCTAAAGATAAGCATGCTAACAAACTAGGAATAAACTTAATAAAATTAATAACTGACTATAAACTGTTTATTTTAAACGGACGTATCAAGCCTGACTACCCAGCAGAATTCACGTGAATCGAACACAATGGTAAATCCACTATAGACCTCACTATATGTTCAGAATTTTTCCTAGATTGTTGTTCGGAATTCATTACATCAACATTCGACGTATCTGATCATTTCCCGACAATAACAAAATTTTTAATGTTTTCGCACGGAATATCAACTAACGTGTCTAACAGGCAATAAAGGATTAGTAACAAAATGTCGAGATATCTACATGAAATCGAAAACAAATTTACCAACATTCCGGAAATAACTGATCTTAATAGTGAAGCAACTTATAACCACATGATCCAGATAATGAATGACTACATCCAAATTAAAACCATAAAAGACCCATTCAAAACAAATTAAAAAAACCCTGGTATGATCTTGATTGTTACAAGATGAAAAAGATGAAACAAATCAACTTAAAACTGTTTGAATAATCTAAACTTCAACAACTATAGAAAGGCAAAACAGATTTCCAATAATCTACTGAAGGCTAAAAAGAAAAACTGCTTCGGAAACCTTGGATCAACTTTAATAAACCATAGCAAAGACAGTAAATCATTTTGGTCTTTAATACGTAAATTCAACTTTAAAATGGATTTAAACCAAAACAACTCAATAATAAACTTTGAAACATGGAAAAACTTTTATCAGCGATTTCCAGAAGTCCAATCTATTCCTTTACTAATACCCAACTCTTATTTTAACAATGAATATCTGAACTCCAAACTTACAATTAAAGAACTAGAAGATACTATAAACAAAATACGCAGTAACACAACTCCGGGAAGTGACTATATTTCAACTAAATTTTTGAAGACACTCTCATATCAAGCAAGAATAAAATTATTGCACTTATTTAATTCAATATATAAATTTACTAAATACCCAGATTCTTGGAACTCTGTTATACTCACAATGATATATAAAAAAAGTAACGAACTCTCTCCAAGTAATTATAAACTCATAGCTCTACTATCAATTCTGAGAAAATGCTTCACGACAATATTTGATATATAATTTCAACAATGGACTAAAACAATGGAACTAGAAGCTAAATTCCAGTATGGCTATATAAAAAGTAAGGGAACAGAATCCACAATCATCTTATTATCATCATTAATACAGCTACACTTAACTAAAAAAACACAGAAAAGTAGCGTCGTTCATAGACATACAGAAGGCTTTCAATTCAGTACATGTTCCCTTACTGGTGTACAATTTAAAAGTCAAAGGAGCAGGTGATCAATTTTCATCTACAATAACAGAATCTACAAAATTTCAGTATACAAAGTAATATTTAAACAGGGCAAGTCCCTTTCTCCTCCGCTAGTCTTATCCCGTGGCGTACTCCAAGGAGACCCCCTTTCTCCCTACTTATTGATGTTCTATTTACTAGAGGTAGATCAACTTTTTCAAGAACCCACCGATGGTATCGAACTCGGCAAGTCTTTCACTGCGTCTTATTCGCAGAGGACTTAGTAATCTTAACACCTACAAAAGTCTCCTGCAAAAAATCAACCAACTGAACTTATACTTCAAATCGATCCACTTAACAATAAATCCTACTAAAACAAAAGTTGTCATATTTCGCAACAACAGCAAAATTTCGGAGAAAGAGTGTACAATATACCTTGACAAGAATCCTCTGCAAATAGTAAAAGAAGTAAACTTCCTGACAGTTGTCTTTGACTGGAATCTTACGTTTAAAGTACACATTTCCAGAGCTTAAATAAGTAAAACTAGCTATTGATAACCTGTTATTTTTATTCTCTACTTTAAAAACTACAAATTTGACTATTCATATGAAACTCTATAACTCGATAATCAATCCAATCATTTATTATGCTAGTCCAATCTAGTGTCTAGACATCATGAAACGAATCGCATCTGGTCCTTTCCCTCCTTCCTAAAACGAATAATTAAATTTTATTACTGATTAAAATTCAAAAGTGACAACATTATTACCTTTCTACATCAGGAAATTGTGACAGTCGAGTTTAGTGAATAAATTCATTAAATAAAATTTTTGTTAAGGGAGAAAATGGAAAAAATTTTAACTTCAAACTGCCAAAAAAAAGAGCATAAAAATCTTTTCCCACGAACTTAGTTCCTTGTCAAGCATGATACATCGAATGTGTCACCCGAAATCTCGAAAAAGACTATTGGTCAAAGAAAAAAAAACAGTCCTAATAAGGCAGTGGAAAAAACCCAACGAGACCCCCTTTATAAAAAGGAGGGGTCGATACGTAAGAGTCGGTCTCTGGAAATTTGTGCGCACTGTGTTTTTTACAAAAACGGATAAGTCGCTACCAGGAACTCATCTAATCGCCGCTGTTCGAAAGGACTACGCCCGACAACGTTAGGAAGAACTTTGTGCTACTTGAAAAACGTATCAACGTTCGAAAGA